TCGGACGACCTGCAAGTATTCCGAACGACCAACAAACACTCGAACGACCTGCAAATCTTCCATAGAGATTGTAGTTAAATTAATTAAGTACTAAAATTGTGACGATTAAATATTATCTAGACTAGCGTTGGATGATGATTATAAACTAAAAAATTTAAACTAAGAACTAATTAATCTAAGAAATAAAAATAAAACAAGATACAAACGATAGATTCTAGGCTAAGCGTTCCTTAGAATTAATTCATGAAACATTTATATTCAAACAAACTTTATTTAATTTTACCAATCATAGAGATAATCGCCAAATTGATTTCAAACCTTTATATCGACCAAGTTAAATCGTAGATATTAATTGTTATCTATCTCCTCTCGGTCTCAAGATGAACAACTAACTCCCATAAGTTCCTAGGATTTTCGTTCTCTCGCAAGGTCCTATCAACCTCTCGGTCTGTTTATTCTCTTACGTTATAAATTTCTCAATTCTAACAATAAATTATCTCCTCTCGGTCTCAAATCAATCACAAATATGCATTCATAGTGGCCATCTACTCACACAATAAAAATACGCAAAAGAAATTCATAAACGAAAGATAAATCGGAATGAAAGAAATAAAAACTCAATCATAAATTAATCCGAGTACTAACAAGTCCTAGAATCTAAGATAAATCGTCTACTGCTCTACATTGTGATAGTCAGAGTGCTATAGAGATGTCTCATAATGATACCTTTCATGAGCGCACCAAGCATATTGAGATTGACTGTCACTTCATTCGACAACATGTTGCACTTGGGACTGTGAAACTTGTTTCCTTCTCCTCTACGGATCAACCAGCGGATGTCTTCACGAAGTTTCTCCTTCCCGGTTGCTTTTGTTTACTTCTTGGCAAACTCAAATTGATCTCCACTATACCATCTTGAGTTTGAGGGGGGAGTGTTAGTTATATAGTTGTTGTATTACGTATTGTAGGATTAGATTAGATTAAGGTCCAACCTAAGTGAGGCCCATCTTTTGTCTTTATATATATGTACATACCTTTGTGATTAATACATCATATATTTTTCCCACATTCTCACAGACATGACTAGAATGAAGATAAATACTAAGCAGATAAGATCAAACCCAGGCAGCGGGGCAGGCTGACCGCGGACAATGGGGCAGTTTGGGCAGACTATTTCAGGCAGGTATTCCCCTATGGCATCAACTATGGCAGTGCCCTTCCTTCCTCCAAGGCCTCTGATTCATTTGAGGAAGCTGAAAGAAGAGCTTATTCTCTTACTAGAAAGTGATATTCCTACTAGCTCTTCTACTCTTGTAATAGCAGTACCTAGAATAGTTGGAACTAGTAGTAAACAAGAACAATCTTTCTAATAGTAGTAGCAGTTTGTGAATAGAATCTTTTATCGCTACATCAGCTGGAGAAGAAAACTCTGCAAAGGTCAATTACAAAGAGTCCGACATTTAAAGCCTTTTTTAAAAATTTATGATTTTTTGTCAGAAAAAGGCATCGTTGAGCATTCTCATATAACTTTGATCGATAGAAATTTTCTTAATTGATTTATGGTCTATTAAAATCGTAATTTAA